GCAACAAATTGGGCCCACGGCCCAGTGAAAATTGGGCTGTTACACTAGACGTTACATGTACTATCTTTGGATCTCTCTCATTCTGGTATGTCCGAACTGTTATAAAAATATAATAATATATATAACAATTATATTAAAGGGAAAGATTAAGGAGAATGAGATTGGAGGGAAATATAAAATGTTTCTGACGAAACTTTTAAAATCGGTTATTTCAGAACCGATTTTGTATGTATACAAAATCGGTTATGAAATAACCAATTTTAAAAGTAGCACTTTTAAAATCAGTTCTGAAATAACCGATTTTAAAAGAAGCGCTTTTAAGATCGTCATAAAATAACCGATCTTAATGCCCTGGCTGCGCCACCGTGCACCCTCCATAGCCCTAGAACCCTAACAAGCACCGAATTAGGTACGAAACGGCATGCGTTGCCACGAAACGGCATCATGGTGGAGGGCTTGCGCTAGTGGTGGTGTGAATTGAGGTAAATTCTAGTGTACGTCAAGGGTGAGAGGTAGAGATACTCCAATGCCGACATTGGAAGATGGTGGAGAGAGAAATAGAGAGACCCGCGACATCAAAAGCGAAACTTTGAATGCCCCTTTCGTTGGCGTGCATGAACCTGTTATGTGGGTTGGAGAAGATAATCTTCTGCTTTGGTTTTGATGATGTGTGCCAATGGTAGCAGAAGAAGGGAAAAGAGACAGGGGGATCCGATAGGACATGGTGGTCGTTGGATTCTGGATGGGTTGACGATCTCAACCGTCCAGATTGACGCAGGTGGGGAATTGGAGCGTTTTGAGGTTAGGGAATGAGGAAGGTTTGGGAAACTATTTTTTTTTTAAATTCAAATATGACATGGCAATTTACGTGAAGAATGAGGTGGCCATGTGTGCCGACATGGCATACACTGTTACTGTTGGGTGATGACGTGGCAGTCTGTTTGCCACGTCATCATTTAACAAAGGAGACTAACGTCAGGTACTAAATTGAAAAAAAAATATTAGTCAGGTAATTTAAACAAAAAAAATTAAAAAGTAGTAATATGAAAATTGAGCTAATTCGAGGTAGTTTAAACATATTTAAGCAATAACTAACAAAACCTACAAAACAGAAGACCAGAACAATTTTGAAAAAAAAAATCATCACTAGAAAACCTAGGGAGAGAATATTAAGTCAGATGAAGACATTCCCAAAAAGATTTTGAGTGAGAAAAATATAATATATGTTGTTATCTCTAACAAGTGAGTTAGTGTTTCAAAAAACATAAGAACATGTAAAATGATGAAGAGGCATAAGCATCAGACGATACAAAACGGAATGCCAACATAAGCACTCAACAAGCCAAATGAAGAACAAGACCATGCCAAGCACAATCGAAGGCAGCACATAGGGAATCAGGTGAAAGATGGTCAAACAACCAAGAGGAAACTCCAGAAGAACTGGAAAGTCTGACCATATACAAAGTCGACCAGATGAAAGGAAAAGTTAATGCGTTAATAACAAATGATTAGATTAAGGTCAACGTACTGATCTAAAAGCTGATACCAGGCGCAAACGAAAAATGACATGCAATCATCTGAGAAATCAAGCTTTAAAAGACATTTTGAACATCGTCTACACTCACAGAAGAACACACGAAGTCATTCAAATTATTAGAAGAGAAGAAGAAAGAAGAAGAGCATGCTCAAACACTAAATCATGCATATGTCAGAAAAAGTACATCACTTTTTCAGGCAAGAACAAAAGTTCCACAGCTATTGGATCAGAAAAGGACAAACAGTTTCCTAGGACTCTGCTATATTCAAACACAGCTACTAACAGAGCAAGGAAACTTCACGCATTGTCTATAAACGGGAAGCAACATTTAATGTACGAATCTGAACATTAAATGATAAGATCAAACTGGTCGTGAACGACTATATTTGCTTCAACGGACAATTGCAATGGAAAAATTTCACAAGACTATATATAAGCCTCAACATCAAACCTTGAGAGGTTGGCTTTTCCCTGATCAAGAAATAGTGATATCAAGCCCAAGAAACAGAGAGACCAGAGATGAGCACTTATAGTCATATGTACAATATAATATTGTAGTTTTATCTCTGTAAACTAAGGTGTTCAAAATGTTAGTTATGAACAAAACCTTAGTGTGTGTTGTACACCTATGCATCATCTCCATGAGAGTAATCCAAACACTCAAACACAAGTCTCTGTAAGACTAAGGTAGCAAACCTTAGTGAGATCGGAATATATATATTTAAAATTTTATTGAGCTTTTTTAATATATGATTGTTAATTTTTGTCAAAAATTCTTACATTTTCTACTAATATAAATTTGTTGAAAATATTCCATGCATAATATAATTTTTCCTACAAATTTTTTTTCTATCAGAAATATAAATCTTCTGATGGATTTACCTATCGGTAATATAATTTTACCTATGAATTTTTTTTTGTTGGTAAAACCCGTCACAAATATAAATTTTCTAACATATTTATATCGGTTAAAAATTATCCATCGATAATTTGCATTTTTCTTGTAGTGAATTGATAATAATATTTAAATATTATATATAATATAATATTAAATATTATAAATAATGATTGATATCTAGCAATGCATCATTGGTACCCAATCAATAAAAATATTAGTAATTAGACTTTAACTTACCAAAACATAAATTATTGTTAAGTAATTTTTCCCTTCATCCACACATCTTGATTTCATCCACACATCTTGATTGAATGCGAGGCAAAATGGTGTAATTTTTGTTAAGTTCAACAATCTATTTATTGATACTTAGGTAAACATTGAAACACAAATAGGCTTAATATCACATACATCCATTAATTACTACATGACCACACATATTTCATGTCTCATTCTATCAATAAACTCAACACAACTCATATTATGCAGGAGGGACAAATTCTTCCTACATCACTCACACCTCTCAACATGAATCATTGCACCCAATAACTACATTTATAATTATTTGTTATAGATGACATTTGATAGCACTAACATAAAACTCCTACATGTAGGAATCATAAGTCAAATGACTAGTTGTTATGAGAAACACTTATATGCCATTTACATAACTAGCATGAAATCTTTTTACAATTAACCCATCTAATATAAATATTATTTTTAATATTTATACTTGTGAAATGTCATTCAACTCACAATAATCTTAGTATATTATTATCATCCTAATTAACAATAGTGCTTAAAATTAGTTTTCTATGATCAATAGAATCCCATACTCAAATCATACTTGATAAGTCTTACAATGAACCAACTATTATAATGATGTCATTATGTTATACAATAGACAACATAATAATTTTCCTGTCTTTATATAAATAATAAAATATTTATTTATCAAAATAATGATTAAAAAATGATTAAACAAAAATAATTGGACACTAGAACTAATTTCAATAAGATATCCTTTAATTTTTTTTTATAAAAAAAAAAACACACTTTTCACTATAAAATACAACCCTTCACACTTGAATCTTTTCGTTAAAGTACTCTGGTGAAAGAGCACAACTTTTTATTGCTACACCTTTTTCATAAATATTCACATATTTGCATATAAAAAAATACAACATTTCATTCGTTTTAAAAATCTTAAATTTCTAGAATGTGCTCGCTCAACTTGTAAGTCTGAATGAGCAGATTCTAAATAGAACTTAATTAAATATTAAATAATAAAGAATCAAATTTATTTAGATTTAAATACATTTTTTTTATACTTTTATGAATTTTACCTTTTAGTTTTGTAGTTAAAAATATTTCATTTCACTATATAGACAAAAATAAATAAATTTTATAAAATTTTAAGGACTAAAAGGAAACAAAATCAGTATGTATAAAAACTAAAATGAAATATTCTAAATTATAGCAACAACTAAATTATAGCAACAACTAAAAGATGAAATTCATGAAATTATAAGAATGGAAAGTATTTAAATCATTTATTTATTACTTTCAATTGTCAACACAAATTTTAAAAAACCAAGCCCTCTACAACAACAAAAACTAAAGCTTTTGGTAACATTTAAAAAATGTTATCTAATTCTATATATTGTTAATTTACTTTTAATAAATTTTAATAATGTGAAGTTTTAGTTAACTCAACAAAATAATTAGTTTTAATATAGATGTTGCTATCACTTATATATTATGACTCTTGGGTTCCTAGAAGTCCTTTTTAAGGTTTAAGATAGTTATTATCAAATTTATATCAAATAATAAAGATTATTTATCTTAAGTATTATTCTATAATTTTATATACTTTTTATGTGTCATTCATTTATTTGATGTAAAATTTTAAATTTAGACAATAATTAGATATTAAAAAAATACTTTTTATGTGACATTTTTTTATTCGACATGAGACTTTAATTTTGAAAACAATTAGAAAAAATAATATTGAAATAAAAATATTGTTCTATATATAGTAACATTTTTTTAAAAAAAAAATAGTAAAAAACTACGTAACTTAATTTATAATAACATTTTAATAAATAAAATTAGGTAAATTTTACAAAGAAGTTAATTGTAATAGTGCTTGTCACTTGAAATAAAAATAGGTGTTGGTTCCTAGTGTTGGATAACATTGTATTATTGATTATAAAAATAAATATTTTCAAAATCAAATAGATCATTGAACTGTCTTCAATTTGATATAATTTTTGTGAAGAACTAATGAGCTAGATATAAATGGTGATACATACAAAAAATATATATATAATTTATTGGCGCCCTAGTCCTTTATTAAACATTCAAACATATATATATAATTTAATTCAAAGTATTTGATATTTTTTTATTCATCCAAATTATAATGACGGTAACAAGCTTCGAACTTAAGACAAAGCATTTAGTTTATACAGTTATCTCTCATCTCACTCTCTATATATCTCCCCTTGCCCAGTCTTTGTATTTGTCTAAGGAGTAAAGTTCAGTTTCTCAAAACGCAGTAAATATCTAAGCAAATTAATGTTATGTATATATATGTAATATATATATATCTAATTTTATATGATCCTATGGAAGCACACTTCTCATTCCCTCTAGTTTGTCTCAGCAGCAAACAAGGTTTCAATGAAATCCATATCCCAATCCTGCATTATTCAGTAAAGTAAAAATTCCGCATTAGAATCATTTCCAAATTCCAGTTTCAATAACATGAACAATTTTTAGTATGTTGACTCACCTGATAAGTAGCTGAGTCACGTGCTGAGGAAACATCATCCACCATGAACCTATCCAAGGATTCTATGTCCAGAAATCCGCTATAGCCTCCCAGCTAGATATCAAAGAAGTTGGGTTATGTGGTTGAAAAATAAACTTAAATATTTCCTTTTATATATATAAAAAACCTTTGAACCATTCTTTACTGGATCATCAAGTTATATTCACCAAGTGAAAATTAATATTCTACATGCAAATTGTGCGGATTAAAATACAGAAGAGTTATTGTGCAAATTGATAAAAGCTTACTCGAACTACAGTGTTGAATATCCTGTGAGACATACCTGATTAGAATTCTTGTCAGAGCTTGTTGGGGACTCGTTTGACACATTTAATGTGCTTTCAGTTTGGTCGATAATCATATCACTACCACTGTTGGACTGTTGCAATATGAAGATTTTGAGTCAAATACATACCCATGGTTAGTGAGACGTAATAAACATGTGTCATTCTTATATGTTATCATATTATAAGAGTGCAAACACAATTAATTGTAAGAGGAGCCAAAATTACTAGATTGTGTAAAGTCCATTATTTTCTGTTTGATTCTTAATTTCTTCCTAATATGACATTGTTATGTTAACAAGTAATATATGTTCCAAGATACCCATCTAATGTAGATTAAAAAAAAAGCCGAAAAGTGCAAAAGAAAAGCCTGCATAACAAAACAACCAATGTACCTGTTCATGGGATTGCACAGCATGAGTTGAGTTAGAAAAGTCAGACTTTGGAAGTTCACTTGCATTAGGATTCTCTCCAGTCTGATTAAGACAACAAAAGAGTCATGACGAAAATCAAGCAAATATAATATTGAAATGATATTTGTATAATTATATTTACTGATGGATCATATATTTGAATGATCAATGATTAAAATTAAAAAAACATAATTTTTTAAAATAACCATTAGCTAATTTTTAATTTTGAACATTTATGAATAGTTATATGACAAAAGAATAATTTAATGTTTTTAATTTTAACAGTAAGAAGAATTTTCACTTGATATCCCCTCTCTATGTATATCAATATATAAAGTTTTATTTTGGCATAAATTCATTCCTCATCATAATTTTGGTAAATTTTCTTTGCATAAATAATTTTTTTCTAAAACTGGCTTACCTCAATAAGAATATCCATTTCATCTATCATCAAGAAAAGATCAGAAAGGTCGACTTCATCTGCTAGGTGGTTGAAATCACCCTCACCGATTGAAGTGACATTTCCTGCAACATTGACATTTTGTTGCTGTGACCTTTGTTGGTTCACAGAAACATTTTCTGCTCCTGTTCCATTATTAGTGATAAATGCTGGTGGAAGGTGATCACTTGACTTGACATAATCCATAGCAATAGAAGCAGAAGCAGAAGCAAACCCTCCTTGAGCCAAACCAGAATTTCCTTGCCCTAAAGGTGCCACAACATTCCTATTTGTATTTTGAGTTGTCCCTTTGATCAACCCAAAGCTATTGTTGTTTGCAATAGAATTCAGCGTACCAATAGTATTGTTATACCCTCCTTTTGTTCCATTTCCAACCACTTGTGATCCACCATTCTGTTGAATGCTGCTGCTGGTATCGTAAGTAGTACTATTCCAAGTCAGATTATTATTAGAGTTGTTTGCAATGGAATCCGTAGTACCAACAGCATTGTTATACTCTCCTTTCATTCCATTTCCAACCACTTGTGATCCACCATTCTGTTGAATGTTACCGTTGGTATTATAAGTAGTACTATTCCAAGTCAGATTATTATTATTAGAGTAGTTCAAAGATCCCATGTTCCAGTTTACTTGATCATAGCTAAACTTGTGATAATTTTCCAATGAAGTACCATAGTTTTGATTCATCAATTGCTGGTTACCATATTTCACACCTCCTCTAAGGCCATTTGCAGTGATCAAGCCGTGTCCCATTGTTCCATTTGATTGAAAGACAGCACCAACATTGTTGCAAGAGCTTTTTGAATAGTATGATGAGTTGGCATAGCTTCCCAACATCTTTTGTTGAATATTGTTGTAATTGGCCCCAGCATTATTGGTAGCAAAGCTTGATTGCATTCCAAGTCTGGCTTGATTCAAAGAATCACCATGCTGGTGTTGAACCCTCATGTTCAAGCCTTTATGCAATGAGTAGGGAAATTGATTAGATCTTCCAAATGTAGTAGTCACATAACTAGTACTTCTTGAAACATGATTGTAAGGTTTAAGAGCATTGGCTATTCCTCCGTACGCTGATTGATGTGCCAATCTTTTCATGTATTGCTGCACAGGAACACGTGCTTTCGCAGTTGCTGCTTGGAAGTCTCTGATCACTGATGGTGAAAGGCCAGAAGCAAACCTTGACTTTAGATCCCTGTTAGATAAGCCCTCGATTAAACCTTTGTCTGCTACTTTTCTCAGGAATATGCGATACTTCTGCAAGTGATTTATGTGCATACTTAAGGTTAGAACTTGCAAGAAGTGTGTTATCCAAGAAAAAATAATTGAATGCGCAATAGAGCTTTACTAAGATTCTACTATGCATGTCATATAATTGAGAAGCTACCAAACCTGTAAGTGACTGGCAACATTTTCTCTTGTCAAGTTTGGCACATTCATGACTTCAAGAATTCTCTTTGGCACTGCCCCTACATGAGTGAAAAGATAAGCCCATAATTAGAACCAATTATGTTTTGCTTCTATAAGACTAGTGATATTTTCACACTCCTTTTTCTACATACATAAACTATATACTTAAACTATTAGAATCGAACTGGTGTTAAAAGATTAGAATAGTATGCAGTCTTAAATTTAGATTCTATTGGAGTCATTCTAATTCTTATAGATAATAATAAACAAACTTTCATACCTAAATCTATCTTAATCTTCGTTTTAGAATAATTATATATATATATATATATATATATATTAAGATTAATATTATTTGCATTAAATCTTTGTAGAGCTAAAATAATATTTCACACAGGAAGATATTTCTATCCTTCACTATTTCATTTACTCCTTTTTGAAAACATTTCGAGTACTGTTCATCTAAAGTAATTAGTATGTTATCATTTTTTTTGCTTATGTTGAAAAAAGTAGTATTTTATCATTAGGAAAAAGAAAAGTTTCGTGGGTGATCTAGGAGCAAAAGTCTAAATAAACGCATAATTAAAAACCAAGAAATAGAAACTTCAGAGGAATATAGTACAAGATCAATGAACTGAAGTGTTAGGCCAAGTGACATCGAGAGAGAACCTCAAAGGCTGACAGATGCTCTTCATGGGAACATATATATTGACTATTGACTGTTGTACCATTAACACACTAATCATGATTATATCATATATTATATTTCAATTGAGAGTTTTTTTTCTTCATTATTTTTCTTCTCTTCATTTATTCATATATTTCATATTAATTTTTTGTTTTGAACAAGCTTAGAGTTCACTTCACATTATTGATTATCCCAATCCAAAGTATTATTAGAGCAACTTAATTTAGTCGGTACGTGTTGATTCAGTACACCATCACCACTCAGATTTTTACAATAACAATACACATGTAAATAGTAAAACAGTTGACTTTGAGTAAAATTATCATATTGCTATATATATTAAAATAAGACTAATTACTTACTTCTAAGGATGCGGCCAAAGATTTCAACTCACCTCAAATATCAAAATACAATCAATGTCATAATGCTATATATACGTAGTCATTCTGATAAAGTGGTTACTAATTAACTTGAGCAATAAACTACTTTTTATTTACACATTTTTCAAATTATAACTAAAACGTTTTAAAAAGTTTTTCTTCAATAAAAATATTTTTAAATATTTTAAAATTTTAATTATTTTTAAATTTTACATTTTCATACTGTTTCTGTATTATATTTTAATATTTTAAAAAATAAATCATTATATATTCAAAATATTTATATTGAAAATTTTAAATAATATAATTTTTATATAGTCAAATATAGTATTATTTATATAATTTATTATGAATTGAATATATAAAATAAATATTTAACTTGTACATTATAAAAATTAAAATATTATTAATTGTCTTTTAATTCAATAGTTGTAAGATACGTTATATGTCACTCATGCTAATTAATTTTTAATAATCAATTTTGTGATATTTTATAGATCATCATTATATTTATTTTATATTATAACTTTTATTTTTTGTTAATTATATTAGATAATTACATATTCACAAATCTTGTGGAACTAATAATTTTCATTTTTATCTGTAAAACTCTTTTTGCTTTGCTTATTAAATTATATATATATAATTTGCATTACTATAAAATTGTTGATTGCATTAAAAAAAATTTATTCAACTCAATTTTTTCAAGAAAACAGCGTCAATCACCATCAATCAAGTATGAAATTCACGAAAAAGTCACGATACCTGAGGGAAAAAAGAAAATCAACTGAAGGCATGACAGCTTCTAGTAGCGGAAATTACAAAGTCTTCTTCACATCTAGATAAACACCGCAGCTTTTTTTTTTTTCTTCTTAAATTAAATTAAATTTCTGCCATTTCTTTAATAATTATTTTCAGAAACAAAATAGAAAATGTTGTGAAACCCAGCGAGCCAACGGATATTGAAAGCCACGTAGGAAATCACGTGACACGTCATTCACACGTGTCGTAGGCTTGCATGCATTTGCGGCAGATCTCCTTCCAAGTGGGCCCCACGTCCAACGTCACTTCCCTTATGCCCTTCTTTCTTTTATTTATTAAAATAATTTTAATAAAAAATAAAACAAATTATTTTCTCTCTGCTGTGAAAACACACACACACTCTCTCTCTCTCTCTCTCTAACCGGTTACCATTATTAAATGGTGTCCCCTTCTCCACTTCCTCTCATGCTATCTACTGAACACAAACAACTTTCGTTTGTTGTTATTGTTATTGTTGTTTCTCTTTCCTTGTTCCTTAAACACTTTGTTTCAAAAGTCCTTAAAAAGAGTTAAAAAGAAGAAAAAAATGGTGGCTGTAGTTTCCCAAGAAAATGTTGTGGCATTGGTTTCTCGTACTGGCAGGGAGTTGCAACGTTATAGAAAAGGTCGTCGCCAAGTTGTGGGGTTCGTCTCTTCCTAATCCTCTCTTGTTCTTTAATTTTTGGGAAATTGGGTTTTCATCCATGTTTTTAAGGGGGAAAAATAAAAATTGTGTTTTTCATGGGTAGGTTTTGGTTTTGCTGAATTCTGTAACCATTTTTTATTCCTCAAGGCTTTGTTCTGATATGGGTAAATTGAAACAGTTAGACTTAAAGGTTACTAGTTTGTGGATGCTGGATACTAAGAATTTTAAAATGGGTTTCTAGTGAGGGATTTGAAAATGAATTAGGTGGTGAATTTGGTATTGTATTGTTTCTCTGCAGAGTTTTATTTCATTGATTGGTTACTATTTATCTTTCACTAATTTTGTGTCTGCAAATTGCAATCATGTTCATGCAGATGTATACCATACAGATTCAAGATTGGGGAGAAAACATCGTTGGACGTTTATGATGAATTAGAAGTTCTGGTTATTAGTTCTCAGAAAGGAAAAGGGATGCTATTCCCAAAGGTAGACCCACGCTCAATTATTAGTCAATAATCAACACCCAAATGGGCCAAGTTACAATAATTTCGATTTTATTTTATTCCACCAATTCATTTATAATTATTTTGGTTGACCAAATCTCAGGGAGGTTGGGAACTAGATGAATCAAAAAAGGAGGCAGCTTTGAGAGAAACCATAGAGGAAGCTGGGGTTCGAGGCATTGTTGGGGTGAGCCATATTTAATCATGATCTCGGGCTAAATAATTTGATTAAAAAAAAAAAAAACCTTTGCAAATTAAATAGCTTTATGGTGGTGCAGGGTAAATTGGGTAAATGGAGTTTCAAGAGTAAGACTCATGACACATTCTATGAAGGGTACATGTTCCCTTTACTTGTTCAAGAGCAATTGGAGTTCTGGCCAGAGCAAAACGTTCGTCAAAGAATATGGGTAAGTAAAATAAAAAAGATGAATTGGAGCACACAATTTGAAATTGGTGGTGTTGTACTTTTTCTGAAAGAGTCTCTGATTTTGATTTGAATTTTTCTCTTTTGGGGGTGTGTGTAGATGAGCGTCACAGAAGCAAGGGATGTTTGTCAACACTGGTGGATGAAGGAGGCTCTAGACAGACTCGTAAACCGTCTAATGAGTCAAAAACTTGGTCGTGAGAAGCAAGTTCTTGGTTCTAAAAATGCCAAATCTGACTTGTAAATAGTGTAGCATCCTCAACTTTTTTGAGACGTTTCTCCCTGGGCATAAAGTTGAGAGGAGTAGGATCCAAAAGAATTGAGCCAAATGATAGTATATAAATAATAATAAATAGATAGTTGATCACATAGAAGATGGTGATTTCCCCAAATTTTTTTCCCGTGAGAAAAGGAATTTACATCTATTAGTGGGAATTATCTGTATTATTGCGAGACTAGTGGATGCATTGGTTCACAATGGAATTGCCTTGTTTTTCAAGCAATGGAGTTCTGCTGATGTAAGTCTTGGGACTATGCAGAGGGATAAGGCTTTGTTAAGAAGAAAAAAAATGAAGAGCTGCAACTTTTTTCCCTTATTTATTGCTTGGATTGATTATAGTTTTGGGTTTTTGTTTCTTTTCCATTTACTGGAAGGCTGGTTTTGTCTAGCATGAACAAAGCTAAGACGTGATCATCGTTTATACACATTGTTCAAAGAAACTTTAATGTTTAGGGATCATTCTCCATCAATGGCAATTAGAAATGGATCCATGTTAAAAACAATTTTTAGTCTCATTCTTTTGGGAGGTCGATCTATATAAATCAATTAATAGATTAAAACTAAAATATGTTTTTACCTTTTAGTTTTTAAATATGTTTTTAATCTATAATTTTAGATAAATTTACTTTTATCTTTTCAAACTTAAATTGATATTTTTATTTTAAGTTCATGTAATTTTTGAATAAATTTATTTTTAGTTTTTCAAACTTAAAATTGATATTTTAATTTTAAGTTTATGTAATTCTAGAAAAGTTTGTTTTGATTTTCAATGATCAATTGATAAAGATAAATTGAGATAATTATAAAACATTAATTAAGTTTAATGTGATATTTTTATTGAAAAAATATGTTAAGTTTAATGTGATATTTTTATCAACAAAAACATTAATATGATAGTTTTATGTGATATATTTAATAATAAATCAGTTTTATTTAAAAAAAATTCTTGAGGGAAGTGTGTAAATGTTATAATTTTTTTCTTCCAAACTTTGATTGCGATAGAAAAAAGATAATGCATCATGATTATATTGGCCGGAGAGAATGCATAAATGTCGTAAATTTCTTGACCCAGAGCTTGATTCTAATTGATAGGGGGGAAAAAACAAAAAGAGTATTGGTCGGAGTGAAAGAAAGGAGAAAAGTACCAAAAAAAGAAAAAAAAATTCACAATAAGCTACTTATGATCAAATGATCCAATTTGGACGTAGGAATTGGCAAATAGCAAATATGATGAATGGGAGAAATCCAGGGGAAATAAATATGCATGGCAGGAGTGGGAAACGATTCCTGGGACAAAAGTCAGTGATACCTAACTGATGTTTACCAGAGTTACGAACATAAGCATTAAGATTTAACAACCAAGTTGTGGTTCTCCTAATAAATGGATAAAGATGGTTGGCCATGAGCAGTCAGCACTAAGACCCCACGAAAAAAGGTGTTGGTGAGCTGGGGAAACACTCAACACCCACTATTATATGTGGAGGACGAGTATCAAAGGAAGCTCTTGATATATCCCAAAAGCCAGCCAAGGGAATCAATGTGCACTTTCAACTTTTAATAACCTCACCTCTATCTACAGTTGACCGATTGGTTTAGAATCAAATACCACTCCATTGGCACAACTTGAGAACTAGGCCCAATGTACTTTTAGGACCATGCCATTAAAGAGTCAAGATGCTCCAAAATCATCATATCCAAAGGATGAGGCTAGGTTATTGATGTAAAATATTCATCAACTTTATTAATAATTAATATGGGCCAAGCCTAATGGCGCTGAAGCCCAGTGAAGAGTTGGGTTCATGTACTGGGCCAAATTTCAAGATGGGCCTAATTTATGGAGCTCGGGGTTTCCTCACTGCTCACCAATGTGTAAAATACTAGAATGATTAAGATAATTTTACATTCTAATTATAGTTATTTTTTCCGTATTTTCAAATAACTGAATCAATCTTAGGGTTCTTACTATAATTTTGGTTTAAATTCGAAAGAAAAAAAGAGAGAAAAACACCAGCTGAACTTGTCCAGAAGAAATTTAAACACTTATAGATTGTCACAAGTCATAACTCAAGCCTCAAGGGGTATGTATAGATTCATAATTATCTTATTTACAGGAAAATCTGTCAGCGTTGAGTTATATTGTACAAATTAAGATATAAAATTCATAGAAAATAAGTTTAGAATATGTTAAAAATGAATTATATATTATAAAACGATAATTAAAATATAAAAATGTGGCGTTAAGTACAACAACAAATTTCATGTTTTTTTTTTGGTATTTTTAATACACTCAAAAATTTTTGGAGTCGTATATTTGCTATGTTTCTCACTGATTTTTATTTGTTCTATTTCCTCTTTTTTTTTAAAGAAAAATTCATTTATTTCTTTTCTTCCCGCTATGTGTTGCTGAAGAAGCAAGACAAAGCAAAAATCTTTGAGAGGTAAAATTTGGTAGGAATTAAAAGGTGAGCGAAGAATGGTGTGATAGATGTTTGGGATTGAGAGTTACTCTCTGTCTCTCTTTGTGTGTGTGTTCAGCATATTTAGTTTTAATCTTTATCATCAATTTTTTTATCAATAAAAAAAAATTCAAACCAACATCAAAGTTTAAATTAAAAATATTATATATACTCTACCACTAAGTCCATCTTAGTGATTCTTTTTCCTTTCTTTCTAGTAAGATTTAGAGGAAGATATATTATATTATATCATTTGAAATTTTTTAATTAAAAATCTTAATTATATATCAAGCAAAACATATGGACGTCCAGGTGATTGAGGAATAGATAATAATTTAACTTCAAGTATATATATGAATTTCAAATGGTTACTAATCATTATAGTATTAACAATTTTATTTTATTTTTATGTTAGACATTATAGTAGGGGGACCATATCTTACCTATATATGTTAGAACGTTGAAGGTGATCTCATTGGGGGACCATTTGGAAACCAACATTATAACTGCAATGGACATGGTGGAAATTAAAAATGTCAAAATAACAGGCAAAAATCCTTCGTGATCGATTTTGATTTTTGCCTGTACTCTGAACTTTCCCGTGACTTTCCTCTTGTGTTCTCAATATACCATTATTAAAGGCCCACTGTTTCTCTTTCAAGTTCACATGAGAAATAAGGTTCCATAACTTTCAGTCTTTCATGCTAGCTGCAATTCACAAATTAACTCCATGTTCAGTGTCTTTACTAGTGACCTCTCTGCTGCTAGCTATTTCTCAAATGTCCAATTCAACATACACTAAAATGAATATTCTAGCTAGTTTGTGTAGGGCCCGATAGTCCACCTGTTGCTCCACCATAATATGATATTGTCCGTTTTGGGCTAGGCCCGCACGGTTTTGTTTTTGGGCTCCTTCCCAAAAGACCTCATACTATATGAAATGGTGGACATCCTTATAAACTAGCCTATATTTCTTCATTTTACAAATGTGGGAGTTGGGATGAATCCCAACAGTTTTTGCTAAACTGAACATGAGATTCATGAAGATAGTGCGATGTCACAGTTGTACTTTAGCGTCTTCACTCGAAAAAAAAGCTATCGTGTGCTAATAGGGGGAAAAAGTGTTAAAAGCCCGTTCCTCTCTGACTGTGCCAGGCTTACTTTTACAGTTAATAATTAATTCATAAATTAATGTATGCTAATTAAAGTCAATTATAGGGAAAGTATTAAAGCCTCTTCTTACACTGTGTTGGTTTGTGAATGTGTACTTTTTTCAGAGGCCCTGATTTCCATACATGTCCATGCATGGCACTAGGAAGATCGAAGATTATAGTATTTTGAATATTTGTCATTAGATTTTAGAAATTGATTTGTGTGCGTACGTACGTGGGTTCTTGGTGATAGTGAACCGACTTCATCGTTGGCTCTTCTTGTTTTCCCAACCTTCCTTAGTCCTAACGAGATATTTAAGTTATGCCCTAAAAACTTGAATTAAAATGATGATATACACGGGCCATGCTATCTTCCAAACTTTGTTTCAGGATGCGTAACATATACCCTCCTCTTTCGCTTTCCTAAACTACTAGTATATTCAAACTGAAACTGAATATAGTGATTGGTACAGCAATAACTACAATGATTAAGGTTACACTTAAAGTTACAAAGGGTTTAGCATTATTCTTTTAATTAAAATAGAAAAGGGAAACATTAAAAAAGTAAAAGTTACTTTGGATTCGGGAATCGTTGGAAAGAAGATTGACGAAGAACAGGATAGAAAAGGGGCTATATATATATATATATGGTTTTATGGTTTAGTCGATCTTGCATTTATTTAATGACATTCTCTTAATTTAATAGTAAAACCTATGAAAATATTGATTTCTAATAAATTTCTCCCAATAATTAATGAAGAAAGTATTAGGAAGAGTACACTAATATTCCTCTTTAAAATTTGAACAAGATTTATTTGAACAGGATTTATGAGGTTAAGATAAGTCTAGATGTAACATTGTTGGGATTTAATTTCTTTAAGAGATATGAAAAGAAAAAAAAAAGAAAATTATAATCATTAAAATTAGGATGTGTGGAGAGAATTACACTTTAGAGAATAATCATGATTAAAAAAATTAATGATTAATATTATAATGAATTTTAAATTTTATTTTATATATAATAATTTAATTTAATTATAAATTTTAAGCATTGATTTTTATAATAAGTAATGATGAGTGTAGTTTATCCTGTAAATTAGAGTGGCACGTTTTTTTTAATACACAAGCTATCATTTGCCTGAAAATATAATTTTTTGAAATAGAAAAATTATATTTAAAGCATATTAATGAATTGATCTCTCGTACTAGATTGTCTTTTATAGGAGTGAGTGTTGATAAGCGAGTGTAATTTATTGGAAAAGAATTAGATAGAGGCGACATGGCGGACAGTAAATAATGAAGAGAAGCTTTTATCTGTTTTATTCACACCACATAGATGACATGGCTAATGGCTATAACGTGGATATTCAGTTATTTAAACTTTAAAGCAACTTAAAGTCTTCACTACTCATCATTTATACCGTCATATGGAATCCACGATGACATGCACATGATTCAGTAGCACGTACACCATCTTGGAACCAACCCAACCAAAAAAAATATGGCAAAGAAAGCAGCAGCAGTAATCTCAATCTCCTTAACCGCGTTCTTTGTTATTTCCGTGTTGTCCTCCTCCGTGGATTTTTTCCTCTACGGCGGATGCACGCAGCAGCGCTACGCCCCCACCTCGCCCTACGAGTCCAACCTCAACTCGCTCCTCACCTCGCTGGTCAACTCGGCCACGTACGCCTCCTACAACAACTTCACCGTGGTGGGCTCCAGCCCCGCCGACGTGGCCTACGGCCTCTACCAGTGCCGCGGCGACCTCGCCATGCCGGAGTGCGCCGCCTGCGTCGCGCGCGCCGTCCAGCGCGCCGGGGAGCTCTGCCCGGCGGCGTGCGGCGGCGCGGTGCAGCTGGAGGGGTGCTACGTGAAGTACGACAACAACACGTTTCTCGGGTTGGAGGACAAGACGGTGGTGCTGAAGAAGTGTGGGCCTGGGTCCGTTGGGCCCGGTTCGGGCGAGAGGGACGCGGTGCTGGGCGGGTTGTCGGGTTCGGGCGGGTACTTTCGGGTTGGTGGGTCGGGTGAGGTGAGGGGCGTGGCGCAGTGTTGCGGGGATTTGAGTTTTGGCGAGTGTCAGGATTGCGTGGGGGAGGCCATCCGACGGTTGAGGAGCGACTGTGCGGTCGCCGATTATGGGGATGTGTTCCTCGCCAAGTGTTACGCCAGGTTCTCTACCAACGGGGCCCATGCTTACAACAAGGCCCATCGTAAGGCCCAACACTTCAACTATTATACATTCTTTTACCCATAAAAATCTTAATAACAGCAATAATATACTTCCAACTTTAATTCCTGCAAATTATGCTACTTCTCACTTTTTACTACTAATCAGATTCTAGTATTTCATAAATTAGAGATTTTCTTAGATAAATTTCTTCAAAAATATTTTTATGAAGAAAGAAAATAGGAGAAAAAATCAACATAAGCTTTTTTACAAGTTACAACTAGTTTATACATGAGTTAAAATTAAGATTTTAAACAAGTTAATTGAAAAAAGTTTTTACAATTAGAAAAATTTTATGTCATTTTTTCTTCTAATTTTACTCTCTTAAAATTGTGTAATGATTTCCATTTTCCGAAAGAAAAATGAAGTAGGATTTATTTTTACCAAAATATATTAAAGCAATGTAGGTAATTTAGTTTGTTGTATTGGATAATTAGCAGGAAAATCGGACAACGGAGGTGAAAAGACTTTTGCAATAATTGTTGGACTATTAGCGGGAGTAGCTATACTCATTATTTTCCTTGCTTTCTTGAGAAGGATTTGTGAGGGACAAGGTAAATTAAATTCTCTCTATTTGACATTCATTTCTGATGTTTCTTTTTTATTTAATTAATTAGTCGTGAGTATAAGGAAAAAGAGGGATAGATTTTTTTTAGAATGTAAAGTTTTTTTACACTGACAACCAATTATATCTTTTAATTGTACCATGTCACTATTAGAAGTAAATTTGTTTATGGGGACATGACACAATTAAAAGATATAATTGGTTGTTAGTGTAAAAAAATTTTATACTGATAATGTATAAGTGATTAACTCTTTTCTTTATTATCTACAAATTAACACAATATTTTAAATCTTTTTTGGTGCAGGTAAATAAGGTATTTTTTAAGTTTGTGAAAATCAGTGGCATGCATGGCGGAGTGGTTGATAATTCTCAGCCTTCTCATTGGTTTGCTTTTTGGACCTCTTTTGCTTTCTTTTTCTTTTTCTTTTTCTTTTTGCCCTAGCTCTTTCTTTATCGTTCCCTTTAATACAAACTTCAATTCAAGAGACGAGGATATCATATGGGAAATTATTAGACGATGGGACACTCATTTGAATAGAAAAGGCAAAAGCGAGAGAGGAACAAAAGAGAGTTAAAAGATTCTGTTTTCCTCAATCATCCCCACTTAAAAAGTTGCGTTGCCGCGTTCCCTTGCAAATAATTGATTATATCATTCTTTCTTTGTTTTATTTTTAAGCTGTATAAGATCTCTCACTTTCTGTATCGCTAGTATATGCGTTCATCAACTTTTGGTTGGCTATATCTAATATACAAGGCTTTTTCGTGTTATTCTCCTTTTGGTGGCAAGCAAATACTTTGACATGCAGTTTTCACGATAACTGGTTTTTTTTTTCCTCTTCCAAATCTATTGTTTTTAAGGAAGGTGTTAGGATGCTACTGGTAAAGGTGAAAAAGAAAAAGGAAAGTGGGGTTATGTTAAGTTAGAAGCGTAAGAAATTTCATGGAAAATTGTATATTCATCAAATATCCTCTAAGAAGGGACACATATATATAAAATACATTAATGTGAAGAAAGGATAACCACATCTGTGAATTTATACTAGATATGGGTATTAAAAAGTCATATTTAAATCTACGTAATCAAGTAATAATTATTCTTTATTTATATATTATTTGGGTAGTATAATTAGTTAATATAGGATATCTACACTCTCTTCACACTAAAAATCAAACATTTTGAAAACTTAACTAAATATTTATAGGTAATCTAATAACGAGTAATTTAATAAATTCAATAACAATCAATAATTATTAAGTTAGATTTTAATATCATCTGAAAATATTATTGTCAGTATAATTTAATTTTACAAAGTTGATTTGTAAAATAATAATTATCTTTAATTATATATACTATTGGAAAGGTGAGGATAATCACATTTGTCAACGTGTGTATATATAAACATGATTAAATTGGATAAATGATAATAAACATAATTTATAATAACATAAAAAAGAGTTGAATTCTTCCTGACGCCAAAAATTTTTTATAGCATGTAAATGTTGATCAATTGATATTATAATACCTTAATATGATTCTGATATTACATTTTAACGGTTGCAATCTCACCATTTATTTTCATCGATCAATATTATGAAAAGAATTGTCTCTAGATTTAGTTCATAAGAGAGAGAGAGTAACAATTTCAAGAAAATCAGCATGTCTTAAAATAAATTCCATTCATCTGATCCAAGTTGGAAGGAATTGTACTTATACTCACATTAACACATGCCAACAAACATGATTAATAACAATTAAGATCAAAGTAAAAATCTCTTTCTTATTATTTTTTTTCATTCCCTGAAGGGCCATTTAATTTTATTTATCAAATCTTAAATACCCAAATGTTTTTATAGTATGTACTAAATATACGTACTCATGGATACTCAACGTGTACCGATACCAGTACAACATAAATTTTAAGATTACCCGTATAGATGCTTCGGATATCAAACACCTAACTAACAAGTCTTAAACCCAAAATAAACAAATAAAGCTCAAATTACATAAAATATTCCTTTAGCAAGTTAAGAATTATGAGACTCACATAACTCGTTTTTCTTTGTTTACATGCCAAATCTTGGTTGATGAGAAGACAATTCAATTTGGGAGATGATGATGCAATGTCAATTATTTTCAGTGGCCTTATATTGTATATCTTATACTGTGTTTGAATAAGAGGAAAGAAGATAGAAAATAAAGAAAATACATAGTAGTTTTTTGTTAAAGAGAAAATAAAAGAAAAAGATAAAGAAAACTATCTTCTAAATAAAGACAAAAAATAATAATTTTTCTTTAACTTTACTTTTTTAATTTAAATTTTGAAATTTGCATTCGCTTTGAATTTTTTTCTTCTTCTACCAAATAGATCTAAATCTCAATGAACAGAGAAAAGAAGTCAGCAATTTCTTTCGGTATCATCAAATACTTTTTCGATTGACGTGTATATACATGTCCAATTAGGTTTCATGCTTCACAAAAAATATATATAATAAGAAAAATTAAAGTAGTGTTTGCTACCACAGCCATGAAAAGTTGTGAGCTTTAATACTGAACACAAGGGCATTGGATCTCAAAAAGACCAAACACGTTCACTTTTTTCTTTTCTTATTTATGTTTTTTTGACATTAGTTTAGTTTTTCTTCTTCTTCTTCTTCTTCTTTTTTACTAAAATGTTATATGCATATTTGAAGGAAAATTCAATATTTTTTTGACACTTAAAAAAAGAGTAATGATATACTCTCTATTATATATTATAATAAAAAAATGATTTTATATATTTTTTAAAAATTAGTTATCTATATTAAATTTTATTACTTTCTCAAGATTTTTCTTAAATTATCTTTATTATAAATATCAAAATAAGTAGTATGCGACTGAAAAATGATGTATTAAAGAAAGAATATTTTAGAAGAAATATCATTAAACAAAATAAAAGTAATTAAATTTTATTTATATTTAAAAATAAAAACGTATGTTTTTTGGTTTATAATAAAGAATAAACTATAAAGAATACACACATATATATATATATATATATATATATATATATAATATTTTTGCCACATCAATTTTTTTGTATATTTATCTTTTTCCTATGATAAATGTAATAAATAGTGAAATGATAATGAAAAAAAAATAGATATGATTTTATTGTGTAAATCTTTATACAAGTATCATTTCCTTTTAAAATTTATATTTTGATAAATCTTTCACCTATGTTGAACATAATGACTTTCTAATTTATTCTTTATTTTTATATATTTAACAAAGAGGATAATGTTTCTAACTGTCTATTATTAAGTAAATTTGAGACCTCCATCTCTTGCATCATTCAGCATTGACAAAATATGTACTAATGGTGTAAAATAGCTTTATATTATCACCCAATTATAAATCATTATTTATGATAAAATTTTGATTTTTTAAATAAATAAGTAAAATATTATATTAATAATATTATCTAATTAGTTGATGATGTATTATATTATTGATGTATGATCATTAAACTCTTAAACATTTTTATCATGAATTTATATTCACATCAAGCATTAAATAGACTAACGTGGAAAGAAAACCAAAGTTAAAAGAAAATTTTGTCTTCAAAAATAATTTTTAAAAATGAAAAAATATATAAAACTTAAATTGAATACAACAAATTAAAGAATCAAACTAAAATTTAATTAAACATAGAGGATAAAAAAAAATTAATTTTGCTACATAAAACAATTACACAAAAAAATTGTAACCCAACTATTTTGTGTTTTATTTTAAGGGGGGAAAAAAAGGTTTCTAAGAGAGTAACTCAATGGACAGAATAATCTGGCTAATTTTCAATGGCCCAAACACAGTGACGTTTTTCTTGCACACATTAACAAACGTTATTCATGATTTGGGCCAAGTTTCTATTTCCTTGTCTTGTCTTTTCGTAGGCTTAGACATTTTCTTTTGTTGTCCCATTCAAGTCACGGATCAATTTTTTTCTTTTTCTATTGATGGTTGATATTTGTTTTATCTCTCTATGATTAGGCGATTAATTCATCAAGTAGAGGGCTTGACCCAATTTTGAATTGACCTTTTTTTCTTCAAAAGCCTCATTGTTCCCATTTGCTAACAAGTCTGGGTTCGGACTACCCTATTAGTTAAGAGAAAATTCTGATCAAACATATTTCATTTCTTTTAGTTGGGCCAAAGTTTTTGGGTAAAATCATCGATTTTTGTCTTATAATTTTGAAATATCCAAATTCTAGTCTAATTATTTCTTGTATGTTAACAACAAATGTGTTTTTTTTATTGAAACTTGAAAGTATACACTAGCATTGTACACGGTTATATTCTTATATCAGATGAAATGAAAGTCATGTGATATTTGTGTAACATGACAGTTGTACGCATGTTGTATGTGTAACATGAATGACACGCAATAATTCTGTAACATTCACATTCTCATATACTAGTACAATAAAAGGTACTACGTGTTTTTGAGAGAATAAGAGATTTTTTAACAGTTAATTAATTAGTAATTTTTTAATTATTTAATTAATTAAAATAAAATATAAACTGTGGATACCAGAAAGTGATATTTCAATCAGTATAGATGACATGTGAAATTCACATGCTGTTACAAGGTAACTGTTGTATCATTTTGTACTGTTTTCATTCTTAAAAAAATTTCCTTACTTGTGTGTATGTGCTTAATTATTAACATTATAATTTATATCAAATCATGTTATTTAACTAATGATCATTCAATATGAAATTCTAATTTTATATCGACTAGAAATAAAATAATTAAAAAATATATAAATAAAATATTATAAATTAATTTTGTAAGATTGAATTAAACTCAAATTTATTATTCTAAAATTATATTAAAATTATTATAAATTATTAAAAAGTATTATTCACCATTTATTTACATAACACGATTTTGTCATAATTATATTTTCTCTTTCAAGAGAATTCTCAATTATGCTTTTAGAAATATATAAGTATGAATTATATTTTTAAATTCCGGGTGCATATTTTTTAAATAAAAATTATTAATTGCTAAATATATATTAATATTTGTGTAAAGAGTATTAAAGTAAGTGTATGTAAGGCTCGTGTAAATATTTGTGTATATGAATGTGTTTGGTATGCCAAACTTTATCTCTTTCATCTTTTGTTTATTTCAAGACTCAGATATTTTCACTATTTTGGTATGATTATTTTATGCTTGTACGCCGACTTATCATTAACCATGATTTATTTGTAGTTAATTTTGAGATCATACTCTACATTTATTCATTCAATCACATTGATATATAATGATGGCTATCATCTTTTTTTATTATATAACGATGGCTATAATTAACGTAGTAGCTCAGTTTTTTTTTTTTTAATTAAAACACACTTACTTTGATCCTCTGTACTTAGGTCCTTGAGATTCAATATTTATATACCTTATACGTAGTAGCATGTACAGCATCAGTAGTTAATAAAGTTTATCTCTTTCGAAGAATATAAGAAAACAATGGCATAGTTGTTGGACACATAAGCCAAACGAATGACCTAAAATAATATTTTAAAGCTAAACTTAATTGAAAAATACAAATGGAAGAATGTTTCTCTTCGTTCTGATACAAAAGTATAATAATGCATTAAAAGGACTTGCTCTATACTTACGTAACATATATATATATAGAGAGGGGGAATAGAAAGGGTTCATTTATTTTAAATAAATTTCTTTAAATTTAAATTATTTAATATTTTATATTATACATCAAAT